AGCAGTATGCTACAAATGCCCCAAATCTCTGATGCCTTCTGCCTCACATCCCTTAGCTATGTTCTGTGCATTTAGGAGCAGAGATGGAGCCTAGCCATCACATTCGTGTTCTAAAAGGGGGATCAAGAGGCAAAAGCACATATCAGTATTCTAGACGTTGTCCCAAATATGCCTTGTCATTCTGTTGACTGGTAATGATTCCTGGGGTAACACTAACTCGTTGGGATGCAGAGTGATGCAGTCTTTGTTCTGAGTAGTTCTGTGTCCACACGAAGAGGAGTTAATCTGGGGGCAGCTGGCATATCTCTAGATACTAGACACTGCCCAAGCAGCATACGCAGCTAAAACCTCCATCCCTCATCTCGTTTCCTCTTAGATAATAACCTCCTCTCTGTAGTGACTGACCTATGTAAGCTTGTTTTTCTTTCACGAAGATCCAAGAGTGGCCCTCAGGAACAGGTGTTCACGCTGTATTTATTGAGGGCAGGAAGCAATGGATCAACATTTTTATAAAGTAGGAAATAACCATGGTGTTACGTAACTTTAATAGAACTCACACTTCTGTAGCAGCTCCTATTTCCGAGTTAATGGTTCTGGCAAGTTTCGTAGGCATTGTGAGTTGCTTCTGACTGCTGTTATCAACATAATGATGATGGTAATGGTAAGATAGTATAGTTATTACTATTTTCTTTTTTAGTCTACAGAAGACTTCTATGGCCACATCTTTTCTTGTGTTTTTCTTTCTCCTGGTGGCAACCGTTTTATTTTTCCTGTTTATATTATGGCTTCTTCTTGATTCATTTCCCTAGGCTATTGTTTGTTAAAAAAAATACTTGTAGTTTTAAGTATTATGTTATTAGCCTCAAGCCTGCACTTACAACCTTTCCTTGAATGTCACACAGATAACACATGTAATCAGACCCAGGAGATCTGTTATGCAAGGCAATCCGAATGCCTTCAAGGCTGAGCTGGAAGTTCATCTCGTACCCATCTCTTCCTCTGCTCCATTCTGTAATGTCATTTGCATTCTTTTTTGTTTATGCGTAATACTTTCCAGTGCTTCAAAAAAAGCTCTATTTGGTTATATTCCAATCAAGTCAAAATACATATGACAGAAGGGGGTTACTGAAATATCTGAGCCATTGAAGAACATCATATGATATCACTGTTCCAAAATACAGCCTGAGTATAAAGGACAGTAGACAGGCACCATATTGGAACTTTGGAAACTTAAAACAAGAAAAGTTCTTTTCTAAGACATGTATTTTTTTTCTAATTATAATTTTTCTTTATTCTTCAGAATTCTATACCTATATACAATGAAATATGATTGTACACCCCCATTTCCCTCCTCCAGTTCTTCTGTGTGTCCCTAAAATGTGCTCCCAATTTGATGTTGCTTTTAATAACCCACCAAGTCCAATTAGCATTTCTCGTATGTGCATGGGTGTGGGGCCACTCACTGGTACATGGAGACCTGCCAGTGGGAGCGCCACCCAAGAAGAATGGCTCTGTATTTCCCAACAACTGTCAGCTGCCAATCACTCTTAGTAAGAAATGGAGCCTGGAGATCACCTTTCTCATCCTCATTACACAGTAAAACCTTACTGTTGAAGACACCATATACTTTCGCTGCGAGACATAGAGAAATCAACCTGAAACTAAGCAGAAGTCTTTCTCCCATCTGGCTAGCTCTCATAGTGTCAGAAGGCGCTGTGCAGGCTGCTAGGGAAGAGAAGACATCTGGTCCTACCGAGTGCTGGACGCTACGTGCGTGCGGTCTCAATGACCTTCAGGCAATATCTGCCCGCCCACTCACTGGTGCAATAGGAGAAGTATTTCGGTGTGATTAGTATGGGCTGGCTGGGGTTTTGTGCTGGCTGGTCCTTGTGCAGTTTCTGAACAGGTAAACCACAGCAGCCAAGAGATGGTGATTATCATAGCTACGTGATGTCCAGACAGCACTTCCCTGAATTCTCCTCATCTTCTAGTTCTTAAGGTCTTTCCATTCCCTCTTCTAGGACATTGCCTGAGCTTTGGTGGGTGAGGGGTGACTGGGGAAGATTTCCCACTGGGACTGAGCCCTCAGCCTTTTACTCTCAGCACTTGGACTAATTATCCATTGATTGCTGATGTCGTAATTAGGGTTTCTGTTGCTGTGACAACACAGCATCGCCAATGGAATGGCACAAGCCTTTTGCCTCAAAGCCCACCCCTAGTGACATACCTTTTCCAACAATGCCGCATCTCCTAACCCCGTGGTTCTCAACCTTCCGAACAATGCCGCATCTCCTAACCCCGTGGTTCTCAACCTTCCTAATGCTGGGACTCTAACACAGTTCTTCATGTTGTGGTGACCCCCTACCATAGATTTATTTTCATTGCTACTTCCTGATTATAATTTTGTTACTGTTATGAATCATACGGTAAACATCTGCTATCTAGGATATCTGATATGCAATCCCTGGGAAAGGATCATTCACGCCTGAAGGGGTTGCGACTGAAGGAGTAGAAGACTACTGCCTTAATCCTTTCCAAACAGTTAACCAACTGGGGACAAATTATTCAAACACGTGAGCTTCTGAGGGCCAGTGTCATTTAAAACACCATTGCTACTTACTGCGAAAAGAAGCTGACCAAGACTGACAGCATCTCAGATCCGTGGCATAAACATAAACGTTCAGGGAGCAACTTGACATGTTCATTTCAACAACAGCAGTCGTTTCTTCCCTAGGGCCTATAACCTATCACTCTGGGCTTCTGACCAGTATTACAGTACTAGGCATGAAAACCCCTCCTGTGGAGCAGGCCTCAAGTCCAACCAGATATCAAGTAGTTACCCCATAATAATCCTTCCATTGCACTGGCAGGCAGATATCGCTTGAAGGTCATTGCACGCACGTAGAGTCCAGCACTCGGTAGGACCAGATGTCTTCTCTTCCCTAGCAGCCTGCACAGCGCCTTCTGACACTATGAGAGCTAGCCAGATGGGAGAAAGACTTCTGCTTAGTTTCAGGTTGATTTCTCTGTCTCGCAGCCAAAGTATATGGTGTCTTCAACAGTAAGGTTTTACTGTGTAATGAGGATGGGTTGTTTTGGAGACCCCTGGGGACTGCCTGACCAATTATTCTCTTTTTAAGATTTTTTTTAAGTTCTTACTTTTTATTATTTCTTTTATTTGTTGAGATTATAATTTAATTACATCATGTGGCTGTTCCATTTCCTCCCTCCAAACCCTCCCATATCACCTTCCTGTCTCTTTCAAAGTCACGTCCTTTTTGTTGTTGTTGCACAGAGGGGTGTGTATTTGTGTGTGTGTGTATGTGTGTGTGTGTGTCAGAGAGAGAGAAAGAGAGAGAGAGAGAGAGAGAGAGAGAGAGAGAGAGAGAGTAAATACAGAAATACAACCTGCTTATAATGTTTCTATAATGATACTTGTATGTACATGTTTTCAAGACTGACCATTTGTTACTGATAACTAATTGTGTGTTTTTCCTTGAAGAACACTATTCCTCATACTCCCAACGTTCCTTAGTTGCCTATAGTGTGTGTGTGTGTGTGTGTGTATGTGTGTGTGGTGTGTGTGTGGTGTGTGTGTGTGGTATGTGTGTGTGTGTGTGTGTGTGGTGTGTGTGTGTGTGTGTATGTGTGTATATGTGTGTGTGGTGTATGTGTGTGTGTGTGTATGTGTGTATGTGTGTGGGGTGTGTGTGTGTGACCGGGACCTTGTGAGCTTTCCCCATCCACGTTACCATGTCTGCTGATGTTAGCCTTGTTCGGCTTGTGGTTAGGTAGCCATATTGGTGAGACTTTATGGGTGTAGTTTCTTACATTCCTAGGAGACAAATCTCACAGCAAACTCTCCCATCTGCTGGCTCCTAGCATCTTTCCACTCCTCTTCTCCAACAATCCCTGAGTCTTGGGCGTAGGAGTTGTGTTGTAGAGATAGTAGTCGAAACTTCACTCCACAACTCTGAGATTTGATTGGTTGTGGGTTTAATGGTCTCCATCTGTTGTAAAGAGACGTTCCCTTTATAAGGTGTGAGAACTACCCTTATCTGTTGGTATAAGGACAGATAGTTAGAATGTCGTTAGAAATTATGATTTCATAACGCAGTGGCTGGAGGTTCTCCTCCAGATCCATGACCTCAGTGGCCCTGCATTGTTGGCTTGCTGTCCAGTACCAGGCATGAGTTCCTTATGAGTGGGCCATAAGTCCAGGAGAGCTGCTGGCTACCACTGACGTATTCATGCCGCTGCTGTGTCCTTAGGGTTGTTCTGCCATGCAGCCCATTGCTGTGGCTTATAGGCATCATAACTGTAGGACTGCCGGTTGCTTCCCTCTCGAAAGCTTGCATCGTACCTTCTGGATCTGTGAAATCTACTTCTCAGGGAGAGGGCATTCAGTGACCAATAACTTAGGGAGGTAGCCCATGCCTCAGGCATATACTCATTTTTAAATATCACCTACTGCTTTTCCATCTCTTCAGTTAGTAAAACTACAGTTAAAATAGGCATGTAAGACAGAACACACACACACACACACACACACACACACACACACATGCGTGCGCACACACACACACATCCATCGGGGAAGATGCATCTAGAGAGAACCTATTAAAATTCTTTTAAGTGTGACCCTTTAATAAAGTTTCTCATGTTGTGGTGACCCCTCACCAAAAAATTATTTCATGCTACTTTATAACTGTACATTTGCTACTGTTATGAGTTGTAATGGAAATATCTGATGTTCAGGTTACAGTCAAAGGGGTCACGACCCACAGGCTGTGCTGCTCTGCACAGTCCAAACTGTGTGGGTGTTTGTTGTATCAGACTGTTCAGATCGGGGTGATGACTGAGTTATAATCATCTAACATATTTTCAAATTAGGGTGTAGATGTCCCCCCTGCAGTTCACAGCCAACGTCCCTCCTTTACCAGTTGGTATAGCACATTTTCCCATTGCATAGAAGGGATTCACATCTTTTATTTCTGCAGGGAGCACGATGCAAACAAAATCAATTACATGTATGCTCAGTATGTCAAAAACACGATGGAGCCACTTAATATCCCAGATGTCACCAAGGACAAAAGATTTCCCTGGACAGTAAGTAACCTAATTTTAGACCTGAGGCTCACAAGCTGTTTCCTCCTTCAGACCCACACTTACAGAGATGCTTGTTGTCTGAAGGACTAAGCTGGAAACGGGATGTTTAAAGGGGAGGATCTCTGGTTTTGTTCCTCAAGGCAAGGCGGGGGGACATCTACATGTCCTGGGGGTGTTGTGCTGGATGTTTTCACTCTACTCTTTGTATAGTGACAAACCAGCATGTGCAAGCTGAGGTAATGTAATGAACACGGTGTCAGAGACTTTCTTCAGATGGAGTTCCTGACTTTATCTGTAAAAATTAAAGTCCCTGTGGTTTGGATGCAGCCCACTGGCAATCTTCTTAGTGAGCTGTTCCTTGGGGAAGAAGGGTATCCACTTGCCTTGACAGTGAAGTTATTACAGAGATGTGTTGTTCTGCAGACATTGAACACTTTGAATTCCTGTGTTTTCTTAAATCTTTCACAAAACAAAACAAAACAAAACAAAACAAAACACTAGCCTGTGACACAGCTGCCTTGCTTCTATTGCCTGAACGCTAGGGACAACTTTTTCAGACTATGGGAATGTGTACTTCAAGTACGGTGACATTATTAAGAATGTCAGTATTGTAATGTGTTGTTTCCTGGCTTTGGATTCTCCCTGCTTTGTGAAATGGAGACCTCTACCTCACCAGGATAGCAGATGCTGAATAAATATTTGACTTAATTTTACTATAAACTCTGGAAAGTTTAAATAGAATAAAGGCAATTTGGTATATTTTTTTAAATAAAGACTGACTTTATTGCTCATTGTCTGTAGCTGATACAAGATGAAAGTTGTGTGCTACAGTTAATATGATGTTCATGGGACCAGTCATTTCTGTTGTTTTAGCGGTCTTGGTTTTGTTCTTCAGAGTGAAAACATGGGACATGTGAACACACACTGCATTGGAAGTTTGCTCTGCACACCTATAAAAAACGGGAAGAAGAACAAAGTCATAGGTAAGACCTTTCCATGGACTCAACACTCAGAATTTGTGTAAGAAAAACAGCATTCCCTACTACTTTCCAGTGTGACTTGTAAATTTAAAGAATAAAATGTCCGAGGAAAGAGAAAATTTCAGGTTGTAAGTTAACAATTTTATGTTGATAAATTCCTCCATACATGTCAGACATTTTATTAGACATACTGTATTTTTAATCATTAAAATACAGTTTTATCTGAGATTTTTGTTTAAGATTGATGTGCTGAAATCTGTAGACTGTACTGGCAAAATGGCTCAGTGGGGAAGGGGCTTGCCACCAAGCCTAAATCCTATTCCCAGTATCCACATGGTAGAAGGAGAGAACCAGCTCCAAAACACTGTCTCCTGATCTCCACATCCACACTGTGACAACACTTGCACAATCTCCTGTGTGCACACACAGTCACATACACATAAAGATGTTCAAAGTTCATACACTGAGAGGCATCAACTGACAACATATACTTAGTCATGTTTATCGATATATGATATGTATCAAATATGTAGTTGAAGTTATAGATTGTATTAATTTGTTCATTCATTTAATCAGTATTTATTGAGCATTCCTGCAGACTAGGCACTTGGCATAAATCAGGGAGCAAAGCAGAAATCCCTGTCCTAGGGTCTTACATTTATATACAGAGGTTAAAGGACAACCTCTACTACGGCACAAAATTCCTTCCCCAGACAATGGAAGGATGTTCTCTGTTACTGATGTGTTTACCCTTTGGTGTCACAAGGCTTTATTAAGAGCAGGGCAAACATTACTGGGCATTGGTAGCACATGGCTTTAGTCCCTGTACTCAAGAGGCAGAGGCAGGTGGATTTTCCAGTTTGAAGCTAGCCAGGGCTGCAGAGTGAAACCCCATGTTTAAAAAGACAGAGGTGGCCAAAATGTATGTTGTTTTGCACGCTAGTTGTCCATGGTTAACACAGAAAAGGCAGTGTGAACTAATAGCGTGCTCCCAAGATTGTAGAAATAAAGGAAAGATAACTAACTTCTTTTTTTTTTTTTTTTTTTTTTTTTTTTTTTTTTTTATAAATAATTTATTTATTTTTGAACATGAAATGCTTTTTTATAGCATGTTTCACAAGGGGAGGGGGTAAGAGGGGCCAGGTGGTGGAAAAGTACAAAATCTTCTTGGCCTGTGCCTTGAAACATGTCATGGTCTATACGGTACACTGCCTTGAATTATGATCTACCTGCTGTTCTTCAGAAGATATGGTACACTGCTTGAGTTATGGTCTCCCTGCTATTCTTAAGATGATATGGTACACTGCTTTGAGTCTATCTGCAGTTGCTAAGCAGGATCTTGCAGTTGCCAAGCTTCAGAGGACATTGTGCAGGTGGGGAAAGGTTGGGGGTGAGGGTAAGGGCGAGGGTCCTGGCTTCTGGCATCTCCCCCTTCTCTGTTTAGTTAGAGAAGGCATCTTATGATCAATCCCAACTATGTGAATTTTGAATTTGGACGTCTAATTATGGGGGGGTCTTAGACAAGTTCACAACCCCAAAACACTGATGTGAGACGAGTCACATCGATGGTCAAAGGTTTTAGGCTGTCGACGATGGGCAACGTCAAGGGACTCCGATGTGGGTGAAAGGAGGGTGAGGGCCCTGTCTTAGGCCATGTAGGCTGCACCCACTCCCAGCACCACGCACTCCTTTTCGGCTGCATTGGGTGGGCCCCTGGGAAGTGGACCTACAATAATCCCGTCATTGGGCTAACTCACAGCCATCCTAGTCCCTTGTAACTGTTCAATTTACCAACCATTTGTCAGTTTGGGGTGTAATATTGTCATAAAGGAAGGCTCCCCAATGTTAGCGGCCATATCAAGGGCGGCCTTGGTTTAGGAAAAAGCCAATTTTTGTTGTGGTGATCAAGAGGCCAAGCTCTCTATCGAGAGAAACGGGGGCAAAGCCAGGCATACCAGGAACCCTTCTGGAGGGCGTGGAAGTCTAGCGGTCGACCGTAGGGGGGAGGCAGGGCAGCTGGCAGCTGTGTCAGTCTCCTGCAGAGTCACTTCTGGATCCTCTTCAATTTTCGGCTGATGGTAATGAACTTCAACCGTCTTCTTGATGGCAGCATCAACCTGGTTCCGTGGATGACAGGTCGCGGGTTTTGATCTCTGTCTCGCTTAATCTTGATGTCCTGCGCACATCCTCTCAATGAGGGTCCGTCCAGAGGGGTCCGTTCCTCGAGCCCCACGTCTGGGTGCCACTTGACCCGACTGGCAGGCCCTAGTTATTCGTGGGGGCGAGGAGGACTGCAACCTGCTATTCTTCAGAAGATATGGTACACTGCTTGAGTTATGATCTCCTTGCTATTCTTCAGATGATATGGTACACTGCTTTGAGTCTATCTGCAGTTTCCAAGCAGGATCTTGCAGTTGCCAAGCTTCAGGGAACCTTGTGCAGCTGGGAAAAGGTAGGGGGTGAGGGTAAGGGCGAGGATCCTGACTTCTGGCCCATCTGGATTAAAACTTCTAATGGCAGGCATCACGGGTGATTCATTTTTGCCTGGAAAGAAAAAAGAAGGGGATTCTCAGGGAGATTTCTCTTCCCTGGATGTAAATTATTCTTCATCGTATTTATGGTTGGGCCTGGCTTTGTGAGTGTATCTATTTTTTTTCATTAATATTTATGGTAGCCGGTTAGCTGTGCCTTCTGTGGTATTGGACAGGCATATCAGTCCTCGGCTCCATAAGGGAACTGGGTTTGGGGCATTCCCTTTACGGGTATGAGGGTCCTTCCCCATATCTGTGGCAAAGTTTTGTTGGTCTTGGTGGTGCCCGAGGTCACCAACATGGTCAGCAAGAGATTTGCCATGAGCTTTCAGCTTAAGAGAGAGAAAAGTGAACAAGGCATGATGGAGAGTATTTCTGGGGGGCTCCTTCTGAGGGGGTACCGTTCCCCCTCTTTTATTTTTAAAGCCAATTTTTCAGAGTTCTTGTAAAATCAGGGCTGAAGCGCCAACAGTTGCTCCTTCTACACTCAGAGAGTCATGAAGACCTTATTTAAGGATATATAAATCTATATTTATAATCTTTTGTCAAAGGACTTTTATAGCACCACTGACAATTAATCAGACTATATGATATATCGATTGGAAATAGCTTTTTCTACTTTTTGTGAGATTACCTCTCTTCTGTCAATTAACTGTTGAGGAAGTTAGGGTTTACCTCTCTCTTGAGAATATTGATCAGAGATTTAAGTTCTTTTGTGGAGAGCTTAAAATAGGATCTTAGCCAATTTGCAACTCCTAGAAACTTTTGAAATTAATTTAAGATAAGTAAACTCCCTTTTTTAAAAAAATCCTTTATCTGTGTGGGTTTTTTATTGGGTATTATACGTATTTACCTTTCAATGTTATCTCCTTTCTCATTCTCCCCCAAGATCCTTTATCCCATACCCACTCCTCCTAATTTTTGTGATGGTGTGCTCCAAACATCCTCCCAGTCCCATCTCCCTGCTCTCGAATTCCCACACAGTAGGGAATCCAAACTTTCGGGGACCTTGGCCCTCCACTTTCACTGCAGTCTAACAAGGACACCCTCAATTTCCTATACAGGTGTGTGAGTCCCTCCCTTTGTGTTCTCTGGATTAGACTTTGGGAGTTCTGGTTGAAACTTTTGATACTCCTTCTAGAAAGGACCAACGAATTCATACTTTGGTCTTCCTTCTTCTATGTGAGTTTTATGTGGTCTGTATGTAGGTTCTTAGACATTGTGAGCTTTTGGTCTAATATCCACTTATCAATGAGTGCATACCAAGTATGTTCTTTTGAGATTGGGTCATCTCACTCAAGATGATATTTTCCAGCTCCATCCATTTGCCTAGGAATTTTGTGAACTGATTGTTCTTAATAGCTGAGTAGTATTCCATTGTATAAATGTACCACATTTTCTGCATCCATTCTTCTGTCGAAGGGCATCTGGGTTCTTTCCAACTTCTGGCTATTATAAATAAGGCTGCTATGAACATGGTGGAGCATGTGTCCCTGTTGTATGGTGAAACTTCTTTTGGGTATATGCCCAGGAGTGGTATAGCTGGGTCCCCAGGTAACACTATGTTCAATTTTCTGAGATATCGCCATACTGCCTTCCATAGTGGTTGTACCAGTTTACAATCCCACCAACAGTGGAGGAGTGTTCCTCTTTCTCCACATCCTCGCCAACATGTGCTGTCACCTGTGTTTTTGATCTTAGCCATTCTGACTGGTGTAAGGTGGAATCTCAGTGTTGTTTTCATTTGCATTTCCCTGATGACTAGTGATCCTGAACACTTCTTTAGGTGCTTCTCAACCATTCGAACTTCCTCGGTTGAGAATTCTTTGTTCAGCTCTGTGCTCCATTTTTTAATAGGGTTCTTTGATTGTCTAGAGTCTAATTTCTTCAGTTCTTTGTATACCTTGGATATTAGGCCTTTATCAGATGTAGGGTCGGTGAAGATCTTTTCCCAATCTGTTGGTTGCCGCTCTGTCCTATTGACTGTGTCCTTTGCTTTACAGAAGCGTTGCAGCTTTATGAGGTCCCATTTGTCAATTTTTGTTCTTAGAGCACAGGCCATTGGTGTTCTGTTCAGGAACTTTTTCCCTGTGCCTATGTATTCCAGGCTTTTTCCCAGTTTCTCTTCTATTAGTTTCAGTGTGGCTGGTTTTAGGTGGAGGTCCTTAATCCATTTGGAATTGAGCTTTGTACAAGGAGATAAGTATGGATCAATTTGCTTTTTTCTACATGCTGACAACCAGTTGGACCAGCACCATTTGTTGAAAATGCTATCTTTTTTCCATTCGATGGTTTTAGCCCCTTTGTCAAAGATCAAGTGACCATAGGTATGGGGGTTCATTTCTGGGTCTTCTATTCTATTCCACTGATCCTCCTGCCTGTCTCTGTTCCAATACCATGCAGTTTTTATCACTATCGCTTTGTAGTACAGCTTGAAGTCAGGGATGGTGATTCCTCCAGAAGTTCTTTTAT